TTTCCACTTATTGAATTTGCTATCAGAGAGTATTTGCAGAACGAAAACGAAAACACTTCCCGCAGATCATGATAGGTAAGCAACAAAAGTGAGTCCTTCATTCAATTTATCAATTGATATTAGTCCTCCTGATGGTAATGTTCAGTGATGACGAAGTGTTGCAGCAGCAGCCAGTTTTGCAGCGAATAGATTCAGAACATCCTCAACTGCTTTACAGTTTACCTTCTCAATGACAGAATCTGTACAACTTTCGCTTGTAATTTCCTGATTTACCCTATCTAGTTGATAGCTCTCCAGCAACAACTTATGGACCACTCCCAGTTATACATCTAAGGCTCTAACTCTGAAACAACCAGATTATAATTAATGAGTGCATGTTGTGTGACCTCAAAGCAAAGAGAAGCACTCTTTGGATAACACCATCATCCAATGTAAACTACGACGTACAATTTTGCGAGAGTTAAATCATATAGCAAACTAACGCGAATGAATCTAGACTCCACAGAGTGCATTTTCTATTATTTAGCCATTTAAGCTCTAGAGAGATTATTCCCTTGCGCTGCAACAAACTGGAGCCCTTAATATACAATTGAAGAAACATTTAGCGAATGAACGCAATGATTCCACCAACAAATCCAACGAAATCACGGCCTATGGGTGACGAATCAAAACTCGGCAAACCTCTATCGACAAGCAGTCAAGCATTGAGGGCAGGCCCGTAGACTCCAAACGGATCTCAAGAAATCACAATAGATGGGGATTCAAAAGGAAGGCGTGCAGACCAGGAATCGAGACCCGAGATCCCTCAAAACAGAGAACGATCCAACAGATAGTTCCTGGTCGATCGTTGACCAATACTGACAAAGCAGACAGATCAAGAAGACGCATAATCTCTTCGCCTAACAACGAGAGAGAGAGAGAGAGAGAGAGAGAGAGAGAGAGAGAGAGAGAGTACCGTCCCCATCCTTGTCGAAGAGGCTGAAAGCCTCCTTGAACTCGGCGATCTGGTCGTCGGTGAGCTGGTCCGCCATTGGCCGCAAGTCGGGTCGGAGATGGCGAGGGGGGGAGGGAGGAAGGTGGCGATGCGAATGAGTGTTCTTGTGGGTAGGAGAAGACTTCCCCTGGTTCGGTCGTCAACTTGGGCACGTTCAATTGCCCAAGTGGCTTGTTTTTTCTTTTACTCTTTTTTTTTCTAAGCAGGTTAATTACCCGTGGGGTTGCAGTGATGGCACAATATTCTCTGGTAACAATGTGTCGCTGCGGTGCCACGACTAGGGCTGGGCCTTCCATTTATATGGTTAATATGGTTTGGTTTATTCATTTTTTATATATAATTTTGGTTTTGAAGAAATGGAAACCGAAATAATCACATAAAATTTAGAAACCGAACCATATTAACCATAATATATTGGTTCGGTTTATTCGGTTAAACCAAAAAACCAACATACATGCACTCGCTACTATAAGTGTAATGACTCATGAGCACGGATTTGCATTGTATAGAATGCATAAAATAACCGTCAGAACAAACAACCTTAGCATCAATCAATGGTTTATTGGGTCAAGCAAACTAGTAAACATAATTAAGTGGAAAAATCACATGGAACATGAAATGTATTATGTACCGATAAATACATGTGATGCCTCTAAACTAAGCAGCTCTAGTCATGTTAGCATGGTCTTACGTGAGAGTACTAGTTAGATTGAGAGACTAGCAACAAAGAGCAGTTGTCAAAGTACCTGTGATCTAAGCGGCTAGCCGGACGTCCGCTATAATCAACAAGGACAGACCGATTATTGCTAGCTCGCCGGAGCCAGGCCGGATGTTGAGTTGTTCGCCAATGGCGGGAGAGGCCGCCACTTAATTTACTTTTTGGAGAGAACTCCGCATAATGGAGTGACAGTTGACGACTAGGTTTACCAACGTGGGAAGTGGGAGGGTGGGGCGATTACTTGTTACTGCTAGGTTGGGCCGATAGGCAAATGGGCCCTGGTGCACATTTGGAAACAAGGTATTACACGGGGTATTCTACATATCGTTTTTTTCGGTCTATTTGGTTTCTGGGGACTGAAAACCAAACACAACCCAAACACCGAACAATCTTGAAATATCCCACTGAACCAAAAATCCAACAAGTAAGTTAATCGACAAATTGGTTAATACGGTTCGGTTCGGTTTTCGGTTTAATAGTGCCCACCCCTAGCCACGACGCTACGAGCCAACATTGTTGGTGCCGGATCACCACTTGCTATCTTTTTTCTTATATAGTAGGTCGTGAACCCGTTTTTACCATGGGAGGCGAACCACGAGGCGACTAGGGTTTTTGACACGCGGTGGCTGGCGTCTTCGTTGTCCCAGGTCGGCGCTTTGGTGTGTTGTCACTGGTCTCCTTTTTTCTATTGCGAGCTGGATAGCTAATGTGGATTTCTTGGTGCGGCATCAGCGATTCTTCCCTGACTGTCTAGATCAGATCAGCATATTGTTCATGGAAGTTATAAGGTTTTAAGGTTGTGCTCTTCATCCTCCTCAGAGGGAGATTCATCTCCAGATTCGTCGTCCCCTAGCAAATTTAATTTAGGGTTTGCTGTCCTCCGGCGCCGCCACCGACCGGGAGTTTTTGTTGTTGTTTTACTACCATGAAGATACTAGCATGGAACTGTCACGGGCTCGGGAATGCCCAGACAGTCCGAGTTTTGTTGGATGTCCAACGAAGTTGCAACCTCGATGTGATGTTTTTGTCAGAGACTCGCCTCGAATCTTATCTGGCTAAATGTTTGCGAAAGAGATTGAGGATGGACCAATAGCTAGTCTGCTCAGGTGATGGGAGGAAAGGTGGTATAATTCTGTTTTGGAACAATAATATTAAAGTGCATAGATTACCCCTTGGTGCTATGTTCATTAATGTAAAAATTGAAGAAAGAGACAATACGTTTTGGCGTTTGACTACAGGGATGCATGTGGAGTTTAAATGGGAAAATAAACATTTGACTTGGAGTCGCATGAGGCAACTGCACCAAAACCAGAACCTCCCATGGTTACTTATAGGAGATCTCAATGAAATCCAGTTCCTCCATGAAAAGGGAGGTGGGAATCCAAGGCCCATCCAATATATGCAAGCCTTTCGGAATGCAATGGACGATTGCGAGCTTTAGG